TCATGGGCATGGAGATAGAAGACAACTTGCATTAGGTTGATCTCTCCCTCTGGCATGTGGATTCCAGGGATGAAACTGAGGGTGTCAGACTAGGCAGCAGGCACCTTTACAGTCTCAAAAATACAAATAAATAACTCTGACCTCCATATATATGCACACGCATACATACATATATACTATACACACGTGCCCACAGACCAACAAAAAATAAGATTAAAAATAATGAGAATACTTTTGCAAATGGCTCAGCATGTACAGGACACTTTGTGGACACTGCTGTTTCAGAAGGAAGGAGAATGGGATGATAGTCTTTTTTTTGGGGGGGGAAGCAAACACTGTAGACTGATGCTTCCAGATAGCCCCTACACTGCTACATGGGGGGTGGGGAGTGGGGCGTGGGACCTCACCCTCCACCCTCTGAACATAGTGCCCAAGGCTTCAGGAAGGAAGGTGGTTTTCAGCCCCATGGATCTACCCAGCAACTCTAAGGAAAGCTGTCAGCTCTGTACAGCATGAGGTAGGCTCCCAGCCCACTGCAGCTGGACTAAGGGTTCTGTGCTGTCTTCTAGAAGTCCTCAAGGAGGGCAGCGTCCTGTTCCCAGATGTGCTGGTTCGGGAGACCGAGGCCGTCGTCCACAAACACCGATCATCTGCCTACTGTGAGCAGCTGCTGCAGCACATGCAAGCCATGGCTGCCGCTCGGTGACCGTGTGCAGCAGCCACTAAAGGGCCCCAACCGTCTGAAGAGCAGTGCGGGTGGCCTGGAGACTATGCATTTAAGGCAACCATGTCCACAGCCCAGGCATCCTTGGGACCCTACCAACCGCAGACGGTGCTTTGAGCAGCAGCTTCTCTTTCCCAAGCAGGTTCTGGGATTTTGTAACATGCCTACTATACACAGAGGCCTCAAAAAGCTACAATTAAAGTTAAGTGCCCCATCCTTGCCAGCTTCCCAACTAGCTGCTTGAATATAATGTTTTTAAGGCTTCCTCGCAAGCCCCAAGAGGTCCTGGCCTGCTTCCATGCTCACCAAGGATGCTCTTCATGTTGCAAGAAAGCCAAAGCAATTGTAAAAACAGCCATCCACTTACTTTGGGCTTTGTCCCATCATCCTAGGCTGAAGAGAATGCCCAGTCTTGACTCACTGATGAAGTTTCTCCTGATTTTTTGTTTTGTTTTCAACATGGTTTTTCTATGTAGCATTGGCTGTCCTGGAGCTCCCTCTTAAGCTCACAGAGATCCTCCTGCCTCTGCCTCCCAAGTGCTGGGATTAAAGGCATGGGCCGCTACCAACTGACTTCTCCTGACTTTAAATACACTGGAACTTGCAATGTGGGTGCACTTCTCCTGGCATTTCTGTTTCTCAGTATTAGTGATGCCCACAGATAAAGGATAAACTAGGAAACCAGACCTCGTCCCTACCGCTGGCTTACAGCAGTCAGTAGATAGTCATTCCCCGTGTCATTTCCACCAAGTGCCTAAAACGTTTTTAAGTGGATGTTTATCAGCAGCCAATATTTTTGTTAAGACAATGGGAAGAATGGGGAGAGGTGTTTCCAACAAATTTTAACATTTCTGCTTTGCCGTTTGTGGAATTAAATTATTTATTAGTTACTTTGTGTTGCCATCTGTGTGATTTGACAGATTACACTACATTGTTGGAGACAGCTCCTGTCTCCATGTATCAGCCTCAGGGTGACCTAGCCTGAGGGACACTGGCCATGGCTCCATGGGCCCCTCTGGTGCCAGTTAACACTGCCTGTGATACGCATTCTGACACCAGTGGTTGGAGTGCCCAACAAGACTGGGCCATCACCAAGGTTAGCAGGGCACCCCAGCATGGCCCTGAGTGGGGCTGGGCATCCAGGTGGGTGAAGGTTGGCCTCGGAGTGCCTGGCCCAGTGACTACAGCCTGCAGCTGCATTTCTGTCCATCCACTGTCCTTGCTGCCTGGGGTTCCATCACTCAGTTGGGAACTGGAAAAGTACTCTGCTGTCCCTAGAAGGGTCTTACCACCCACCCATCTCCCATGACCAGCATCAGCATCACATGGACAATAGTTAGCAGTTCATGACAGAGGCCCAGGCAGACCCACCTGAGCCATCATGAGAACAAAGCAGTTTTGTTTTGTTTTGTTTTGTTTTTTTGAGACAGGGTTTCTCTAGCTTTGGAGCCTGTCCTGGAACTCACCTCATAGACCAGGCTGACCTTGAACTCACAGAGAACCACCTGTCTCTGCCTCCTGAGTGCTTGGGATTAAAGGCATGTGCCCAATGAAACACAATTTTTTGTTTTGTTTGTTTTTTGGTGCTTTTGTTTTGTTTTGTTTTTTTGAGACAGGGTTTCTCTGTGGCTTTGGAGGCTATCCTGGAACTAGCTCTTGTAGACCAGGCTGGTCTTGAACGCACATAGATCTGCCTGCCTCTGCCTCCTGAGTGCTGGGATTAAAGGTGTGAGCCTCTACTGCCTGGCTACACAATTTTATTTATCTGTTTGTTTGCTTGTTTATTGTTTTGGTTTTTCAAGACAGAATTTCTCTGTTTAGTTTCTTTGGAGCCTGTCCTGAAACTTGCTCTGTAGACCAGGCTAGCCTTAAACTCAAAGAGATCTGGCTGCCTCTGCCTCCGCCTGGCCAAGCATTTTTTTTTTTTAATGATTATTCACTTTTTGATTTTGATCATTACCTTCCTTTATTTGTTGGAGTGTGCACATGGGCTACAGTGTACATGTGGAAGTTTGACCTAAAGGAGTCCGTTCTCTTCCTTCCACCATGTTTGTCCTGGGGATTGAACTCGGGTTGGCAGCAAGCATCAGGCATTTTATCATGTGTTACTGAGTATAGAACTCAAAACTTTACAAATGTGTTTTACCCCTGAGCCATGCGACCCCCCCCCCCTCCAGCTGCTCACTGTAAGATTCTAGGCAGGTACTTTATCACTGAGCTACTCCCCCAGCCCCTCACTTATTTAAGGCAGGGGCTTTACTGCTGAGTCACTCTCTACAGCTCAGCATCTTTGCAAAGGGATCTACAGTTAAGTATTTTAGGCTTCATGGACCTTCCTGTTCAGCTGTTGCTGGTGGTGTGGGCATGTTTCCGTTGCTCCAAACAGAATGGCTGGGTTGGATCCTGGGAGGTGAGTTCCAGAGTGATTGGTTGGTGGGTGGTTATGTTTAGCTGCTTTATTGATCTGAAGTGGACAATTGGGTGAGTATAGGTGGGCACACCTACCGTGGAACCACCTCCAGCATGGACACCTCAGGAGCATGTTCTCTCTACCATGGATCTGGGGCGAGCACTTTTATCACTGAGCCATCTCACCAGCTGCCTCCTTTTGGACGGAAAATGCTAAATTGGAACAGATACCTCCCGAGGTGGAGGTGGGAAAATGAGGACAAGAGCCCACTTTCTTCTCCACCTCATACCCACCCCCTTCCTTTTGAAAACTGAAAAGAAAGTCCAGAGTCAGCCACATGTAAACAAATGGATCTCTTTGATTTTGTTTTGTTTTGTTTTTGTGGAAGCAGGGTTTCTCCGTGTAGTGCTGGCTGTCATAGAACTCACTCTGTAGACCAGGCTGGCCTTGAACTCAGAGATCTGCCTCTGCCTCCAAGTGTTAGGATTAAAGGCCTTCGATAGCAAATGGGTTTAACATGTCAGAGCCAATGAGATGGCTCAGTGGGAAAAAGGACTTGCCAAGCAACTCCAATGGCCTAAATTCAATCCCCAGAACCCATGTAAAGGTAAAGGAAAGACCAGCTCCACAGGGTAGTCTTCTGACCTTCACATAGGCAGTGTGACGAGTGCCCACACATCTGGACGACATACAGAAATATAGATAGTGTAATGGACTGGCAAGGTACCTCTGGGACAAAGGCACCTGTCACCAAAACTGACAACCTGAGTTCAATCCCTGGGACACACATGATAGAAGGAAAAGAATGACTCTGACAGGCTGTGGTGGTGCAAGCCTTTAATCCCAGCACTCAGGTGGCAGAGGCAAGCTGCTCTCTGTGAGTTCAAGGTCACCCTGGTCTACAGCACAAGTTCCAGGATAGGCTCCAAATACACAGAGAAACCCTGTCTTGAAAACAAACAACTTGACTCCAACAAGTTATCCTATGACCTACAGAATGCCATGGGTATGTTCCCCCAATACACAAATAAATGCAATTTAATTTTTAACAGGAAAAATGTCTGAGCCAGTAGCATTATGAAATGCCTGTAATCCTAGCATTTGAAGATGGAGACTGGAGGATCAGGAGGAGTTCAGCTTCATAGAACCTTGTCTTGAAAAAAAGTGAATTTAAGTCTGGGGTTTTTAAAAGAAAAAAAATAAAATAAAAATAGATGGTGGTAACAGCCAGAAGCTGTCAGTGCTAGTGAAGCTTGGGAGAGAAACTAAGTGTTCCCTAGTGGCCAAAGATGGAACAGCATGAGCAACAGCAACAACAAAAATCACTGTTGGGTTACTGGAGCACAAATAACCCAGGCTGGGGATACAAACTAGTCATGTTTGCCTAACATGAGCAAGAACCTTATTTCCATCCCAGTACTTCCAAGGAATTAAAAGTAACACACAAGTTTATGGCAATGCAAACAAGGCAGACCTACCAGTGCAAGACATAGATAGATTAACTACTGGGGATGCTGAGGCAGGTAGATTAAAAGTTAGAGGCCAGCCTGGGATGCAGAGAGTTCAAGACAAGCCTATAAACGTAGACTTTGCCTCAATCTAAAGAGGAAAAAGCTGAGCGGTGGTGGCGCATGCCTCTAATCCCAGCACTTGGGAGGCAGGTGGACCTCTGTGAGTTCAAAGCCTGGTCTACAGGGTGAGTTCCACGACAGCCAGAGCTACACAGAGAGACCCTATCTTGAAGAAGAATGAGAAGAAGAAGAAGAAGAAGAGCAGGAGGAGGAGGAGGAGGAGAAAAGAAGAAGAAGAAGAAGAAGAAGAAGAAGAAGAAGAAGAAGAAGAAGAAAAGAAGAAGAAGAAGAAGAAGAAGAAAGTGGATATCAATTAAGATGACACCTGACTTTGACCCCTGGCCTGTATAGACATTCACACATAGGGTGTACACAAGCACACACACTGAGAAGGGAGGGAAGCTGTCAGCTCTTAATTGCATTTGTAGGTTTGTCAATTGTCCTATGCCCAAAATTAAATTCCTGGTGTCTGCCACTTCTTGTGGCTTAGTTATGTAACATGTTAATATTACGAGAAGCTAAGCAGAATAGACTGGAATGCTCTGTACCAAGTTTTGCTATTCTTGTGTTTAAAAAGTCCTAAGATATTTCAATGTAGAGTTTAAAATACATACACAGATGGGCGAGAGCAAATAGAACACTCATCTCTCCCCTAAGTGGGTGAGCAAGCAGACAGTGCTGTTGGTCCTGACCTGGCCATGTCTCAGGGAAAAGAAGACCCATGTGTGATCAGGATGGAGGATCCCCCCACCTGCCAGTTCTGTGGGTACCAGCTGAGTTAGAACAAAAGCCCTGAGCAAGAGCAAGCTTGGCAAGTCAGCAATAAGGAGGCTGCCCTGCAAGCCTCCATGTGGTTAGAGGGAGACAGTAGCAGGTCAGTTTGGATAGGTGTCAAGAGTGGTGTCCTCAGGGCTTCAGATAAGGGACACTCACCTCCACCTGCATTTGTTAACATCTCTTTCCCTTCCCTTCTCCCCCACCCACCCCCCCTTTTTTTCTTTTTGAGACAGAGTTTCTCTGTGTAGACTTGGCTGTCCTAGAACTCACTCTGTAGATCAGGCTGGCCTTGAACTCAGAGATCTGCCTGCCTCTGCCTCTCCAGTGCTGGGATTAAAGACGTGCCCACCACCCAGCCCATCTTCCCTTCCTCCCTTCCTTCCTTCTTCCTGTTTCAGTTTCTCCAGCCCATCTCTTAGTTGTCTTCTTCCTAACATAGGCTGGTCCTTCCATGCTTCTCTGGATTCTGATCAGCACATTCTCAAAAGCCTTTCTGCATCCCCCTCCCCACCCCTAGAAGGAGGCATGCCCCATCTTAGTCCCTGGCCCTACACTCTCCTGCAGGTTCCCTGTTTAGAAACCAATGACTCCCTGGTTTCTATTCCAGATGACTCAGTCTCCCTGCCAAGTCTCTCTCCAGAGCTTAGTATCCAAGCAGGGTCTCTTGGGCATCATCCTTGCAAGATGCTGAGACCTCCCTAGGGGCCCCACCCAGGAATCAGCTGCTTGGGAGCCTGTACCCACTCTGAGAGCCTACTGGAAAGGATGCCAATTCCTCTGCAGAGAAGGACCCAGCTCTTGGCTCTTGGGCCAGAGCATCGTGCCAGTTGCCAGTTGCCAGTTGCTCTAGGCTGGAGTAAGAGAGAGCACAGTTGCTTCAGTCCAAAGCTCTACTTAATCCCTGGGGTGCCAGGCATGCCCCTAGCCTCACCCTTCCTAGGTCCCATGCCTATTCTGGGATGTTCTTCCGCCACTCCACCCACCTCACTTTCTACAGCTTCCGGACTTCCAAAATTCGCCTAAGCCCTGTGGTGCTCCCCTCCCCTCTCCACCTAACTTTATCCCCTGTCTTCCCCACTTCTTAGGCACAGGCTTTTGAAACACGGTGATATTTGCCTGGGACATTTCTTCTT